CGTCGGTGGAACTTTTCAGTATTATCAGTACCTCATTCAGATTGGTCATGCCATAGGATGCTGAATCGGATTCTCATACTACAGTTCTAGCGACGTCGAATCGGAAGCTCTGGAGATAGATGATCGTCAAATTGAGTAGAGCTTCTGCATATATAAATCTGCTGTACTCCGTTTCTATCAGTGAGCAACTCAGAATTTCAGTCGAAGACTGCTCTGGATTCTGGAACTTGGAACAGCATATTCGAGGAGTCGATTCATTGACACGCATTGACCTGTCTGTGTTTTTGTTCCCGAGGAATTGAGAAGATCTCTCAGATGCCCAATAGGAAGAATTCTACTGTGTTCCGGAACCATTGTAGAGCCGGGACTGTGTGAAAGGATGGAATTCGGTGGGGTTTTTCTTGTGATGAAATGAGTACAGAGATGGCCATGCTGTTTGGATTGGCAGAATCAATCTTCGCGCAACTCGGTGTTATTCGGGTCGACAAAAAAATGATCCACAAGAGGCAAACTAGAAAGTTAAAGGCTCTTCGAAAAAAGTTGACAAGAAGTTTTTTTTAGCTCCGCCCACTGTTGAGATATGGACAGTTCTGATTCGGGACAGTTCTGATTCAGAAACTGTGCTGATTCAGCATTACGCCATTTTTTGCATCTGCGCTCTACCGAACAGAATACTTTCCATTAATTGTCCATGATTTATTTGATAATTCATTTCAATTTAATGCAACTTCGCTCTATCGAACACCACTTTTTAAATCTTATATATTCCCAATTGAGTGTTTACAATAATAAAACAAGAATCAATTTTTTAAATCGGGAAAAATCCCCGGAAAAAAATCCCCGTTCTAAAGTCTAAACGGACTTTATTTCAAATAAAATAACCCGATAACAAGTGTATATATACATGTGATAATGTAAAACTCTGGGCTGCCACAAGTCTAGCGTATTTACAATTCAAGGCAATCAATTCTGTGTGGGTGCCACTCTCGGCGACGGATCCTTGGGAGACATAGCAGATTCTGGAATCACAAACGGTTAGTAAACGC